TGTCTAGATCAAAATTTAATTTATAATGCAAATGGTCCATTGTGTGACGTAAGCACTTCTAACCTCTACAGTGTGCATGGAAAAAACTGAACTCTTTCAAATTAGCTATAACGTATTGTAGTAATCTGACAGCTCTAATTGCTTTGAATTAATGGTTGGGTAAGAACACAAACCAAGGTCTTGTACTCATGGGACAAAACTCAAAGAAATAAAAATTAGAAAATTTAAAAGAAATACACTATTTCTTTTAAATTTTCTAATTTTTATTTCTTTGAGTTTTGTCCCATGAGTACAAGACCTTGTGTTCTTATCCAACCATTAATTCAAAGCAATTATAGCTGCTGTATACATACACTGTATGTAGCTTAAAATTTATGTACAATGTACATTATGATTTACAAGTTTTGTGAATACATGATCACGTACGCAATTATGCTAAAAATGTCTACAGTTTGATTCACTAAATGTTATATAGTGCTCAACAGCAAAAAAGGTCAACAATAGGTTGGCAGTGCCTCATCTAGGGTAGCCTTAAGCCCCGTTTACACTACGCTATATTTTTGGTACGGCACGGATAAAATTGGTACCCGTACCACTTTTTTGGCTCTTGGACTACTTATTTAGGTAGTCCAAGAACCAAAAAAGTGGTACGGTGCCAAAAATCGAGCGTAGTGTAAACGGGGCTTTAATTCTCTCGCCTGAAGAGTAGAAGAGAAGAAAAACCCATCCCGAAACCATTTCCCGGTGGCTAGCCTGCGTTACAGAATATAGACCTTACAGAAGGACCCAACAACATCACAAACGTCGCTTGCTTAAGCCTGGGTCACACTGGTAATAGACTTAGTTTGATCATCTGATTACCAATTTCCCGTGCAAAATGACTGAAAAACGGCAAACTTCGCAAGGCTATATTATCTGCATTTTGCAACATTTGGAATATTACTAATTTTGTGATGCTCTTTCAAGCTGTGATGGAATTTTTGTCTAGATTAAAATTTAGTCTATAAATATAATGCAAATGGTCCATTCTGTCGGCGATTTTTCTCTTCCTGGCAAATAATGTGATCGAATGAGTGACATGCAAAAGACTTAGAATTGTTTACTTCTGAAGAGCGACTTTTGTGTGCGAGTTTTGCATCTGTCAGAAACACAACATCGCCGACAAAATTGCCAGTGTGAACCAGGCTTTTGAAGCTCACTAGTAGCTCATCAGGAACGCTTTGAAGTTTACCAAGCTTCCAGACCATGTCTCGATTCACTGACACGTTCACACCGAGATCTCCGATTTTATTGCGGAACTTTGTGCACGCCGAACAAATGTTCAGTGAACAATCTTTGCAGAGATTTGCTCCACAAAAAAATTTCATCGAATTTCCATTTCTCAGCAAGATTTTCGCCATTCTTAGAAAATTTAAACGCCTCCCGCATAAAGCGCATTCTGTCTTTAGGTTGGTTTTCCGAACATCGGAAACAACAAATCGACTTGACCAGGTTAAGCTGGACCTCGCGATAATGTGTAGGTTTGCGCTGTGATTGTTCAATGGCCATTATACTAGAGTTGGCCTGATTCAGACAGTTGTCGTCAACATGTTCAGCGACCAACTCGCCAGAAAGGTTACAGCCGAGATAAAACGTCGCAAGGGTAATATGGGCCTTGTACTCCAGGTCTGCGCGTACCTCGGGACAATCCGACATGATAACTTGTTGGAGGTGTTGCAGAGCGTTACGCGAGAGCACATCAGGAGGAGACAAACATGGATCATTAATACGGTCCGTCATCGTTCCTGCAAATAAAAATACTAGCACTGTGACTAAGCCTGGTACAAGGCATTCTGACTTCTCCAAAGCACTAACCAATAGATCTCGAATGCGGTTGAGTGTTTCGCCTTCGTCGCCTTTGGGGCGATTATACGCAGCCTCGACATATAGACCGAGCACTTCAAAGATATGATGCTCTGTAGCATTTCGTAGAAGGTCTCTGTACTTCTTAAGAAAACTATTTGCTGTTTTAAAATTATGTCTTCGGGAACGCAAAATTATTTTTTTCAACAACACCACCAATTTAAGCTCGACAATATTTGGAAATCTTTCTTTTATTTCCTTCGACTTTTCTTGAAATCGTCTGAAATCCCCATTATTTAAAGAAAACGTTAGAATACAAAATGCTTGTATACAAAGATTTCGAGTCTTTTTTGAAATCCATGTAATGCTGCTGCCAATTGCATAGGGGACCAACTCAACTTCGACAGGTCCCAAAATTCTCTTCTTCCAAGCAGTAAGCGACATCTTCACAACTGTCCCCTCAACTATTTCGTAACATTCAGGTTCTTCGGTGAACACACCACCTACACAAGGAGCGATGTAGACCACGATCACAAAGGTTGATGGGATGTGGTTGGCGTTTTCATCTACCACTGGCTCGAAGAATATCTCCCAGTCTTCCCCTCGTTTTGGTTGACCAATATGCGCCGGCCAGATCATCTTGTTGATGGCTTTCTCAACTTTTTTTGTTATTTCAATGATGTCCTCGTTCGAAATCAACTCTCCTTCAACAACTCCATCGTCAGTGATACCATAATAGATATGACCTCCGTTATAGTTGGCAAAAGCAGAAACATAGCAACTGAATTTATTACCTTTACCAGTCATACGATCTGCTAGCGTGGTACATTTTGACTTCTCTGCTTTTAGATTCTTTAATTGACGCATTTTGTTTTCATGAAAACCACAAGGATCCTTTTTGCGAAATATCTGACAATGTGATCCTAGTAGGACTGGTTCTGGAACGGCTCTTCTGTTGATGATATCGTCCTTGATTTTTTCTAGTGGTTCCCAAGGAAATACCTGCACAACTTGTAATTGACTCGGTAAATAAAGGTTATAATCAGTTGTTATAAGGGAATCAGCTTTTGACACTAAAATGCCTTTTTTATCTTCTTTGAAATTTATATTCGAGACAGTGAGACTCGAACCAATAATAGATATCATAGATTGCTCAACTTTTCGCTGAATAACAGATGACATCTGGGAAGAACACACCACTGTTCCACCATCTCTATTTAGCAAAGCACAGATAGCTGATATTATTTCCTTTAATATTGATTCACTGTTCTTTTCAATAGTAGAGATGCCTTTATCTGGGTCGACAGCTATATGAATAGTAGTATTACTAATCGAAGCGTCCATTTTCGTACTGAGCAATGCTTGTAGAAATATTAAAACTGTTCCGCTTCGCCCAATCAACAGAACTACGTATACATTGTACGTCACTGTTCGTTTAATTTCCTATATAATACAAAGGAGTAGTTTTGTGTTAGGGGCGAGCGCCCGGTTTTGGCGAGATTCTACGTTTGTTATCAGGGGTGGACTATTTGATATGGTGTCGTGAGGGGGTGGTAGATGCCCCTACAAAAATAATGCAAAGAGTGTGGCCCACTGGCCAGAAACGGTGGCTATAAGGCATGCTTAAAACAGGCGTAATAAAGTAACCCAATACTCCACAACCAGGGTTATAAGGGGTGGCCCATTAGGTATCCTGAGACTGGGGTGAGATAAGTATGGGAGTGGCAGATCTCAAAAATATCATGCAGAGTGGAATTCATTGGAAGCATTTAGGGAAAAAATCACGCAAGCATTTATAGGAAAAGAAAAAGGTTCCGGAACTTAACATCAGAATATACAGAAATATATAAACTTACATAAATTAAATTCTTGCAAGGAAAATATCCCCTTCCCAGGATATCTAACGGTCCATCCCTTATTTACTACTATATTTCTTCTTAGCCTTTTTGCATTCTGCATTTCATTGGAAACGAGCTGGCCCATCCAAAGGACTGACCCGGAACCTTATAAACCGGCCCTAGCTTGCCTACGCAGGCTCAGTATTAATGCTTAATTTGTTTACGCAAATACACATTTTCCTTATAGAGTTCGATTTTAAAAGGCCTGTATGTTCTTTTCTGTGATCTGAAAGCCAGCTACTCCACCTGAGTTGCAAGGTCGTCGGATTTGTATTATAAGCAAAATTCACAAAGGAACTAAAAAAGTTCAAAGGCAATTCAGATTTATTCTTGAGCCCCCCCCCCATATTGATTTACTTCCGACGGCCTTGAGTTGTTATAGCCAACAACGCATTATACAATGTTATCGAACGCGTATACAATGTTAACCCATTGAGTCGCATTGCAGTACGCTTCTTTATTATTTTACTCTTGTCTAACGCCAGACAATTTTACTCGTCAAAGGGAGGGTACTTAATGTGTTAAGTTAAGAATCGCATGTAAGAACCTACCAATAGTCCTGTTAGTCCATGAGAATTTCTTGACAATAAGCTAGGACATTTTCTTTGAAAATGGACGTTTTGTTTCAAGAGGAGTACTGTTTAGTTTATTTTTGCTTTCTTATTAAAAGTATTAATTACTTACCAGCAAGGCATATTTTAACATACAGTATATACTGTAATGTATATCAGTATATGAGGGGGGGGGCATTTGGCTCTACAGGCCCCCACTAGTTAGTGGCTCAGACTTAGGCCCTAACCTTACCCGGCCTGAGTGACCAAAATCTAATTTATACTCTGGGGAGCCCACAGCCCCACACTGGGTCCAAGTCTTGACAATGCCAAATGTAAAACTTTTAAAGTATGCAGTATGCACCTTACTAGACTTACACCAGTTTACACAGCCTAGCTACTCAGCATGATACTGGGAGACAAATGGAAGAACCACAGCAGGAAAATTATGCAATATTTTATACAGTAAAAAGGGGGATACAAGGGATCAAGAAGGATAATTGTGCTGTCAGGAAATAAGTTTTCATTACTGCCATACCCCTTGCCTTCCCAATATAAAATACACAGTCAGGGCCGCTGAGATGGGGGGCAAATAAATTGCCCCAGGCCCCCACCTTAATAGGGCGCCAACTGGAGAGCGAGAGCCTGAAATTGAGTAGGTTCTTTAATTTAAATTGGTCAGAGCATTTGGTCTAGCAAAATAATGTCATGGGGTCCCCAGAGAAGATTTGCCCCGGGCCCCGCAAACTCTCTCAGTGGCCCTGTACACAGATTTTCTCTGAATTCTGCCTGCTAACACATGGTTTGGTGGGGACTTGATAAAACTTGTAATCTATATTAGTCATCACCGCTGTCAAACGTCCACATATTGATAACTTGCGATCATGCTCTATTTTATATATAGAGCCTGAGGTAGCGAGGGTGGTTGTTTTCCACCCACAGGGATGGAGGTAGGGTGACCCTAGCAGAAGGGTTACCCTAGCAAGCGGGTTACCCTACTTCAAGATGTTTTTATTATAGGAAGCGTTTACATGCGCGCTAGGGTTACCCTAGGGGTAGGGTTACCCTATCAGACAGATAGGGTGACCCTAGCAGCAGGGCTATCTTTTTGTTTACATAAGCCATGTAAACGCGTCAGGTAGGGTTACCCTAGCAAGCGGGTCATGTTTTATACATCCTACTGTGACGTGGACAGACAAACAAGGATGGCATCGCTAGATTATACATATGAACATATCAGCCTGGCAAGTATTTTAAACGACACCAGAAAATAAAAAGGATAAGCAATTTACAAATAAGGAAGCAGAGGCATATATAGAACGAAGCTTTGACTTTGGACGAAAACGCTGCGAATTATGTAGTTTCGATAACAAATTGTCAAAGACGGCGAAAAGGAAGCAAAATTCAGGCGCATCCTCATCGACGTAAAAAACCCCAAAATAAATGCTCATGGTCAGCCGAGCATGTCGAAAAACTGTTGTGTTGGACTATATCAAGGAATACATTACGCTTATTTACGCAATGCGAGTAATAGACCATAATATTGAAATAACAGACCACGATATTGAAATAACCTCGGAAATAACAGACCACAACATTGAAATGCAGCAAGCAAAAGCCCAATAAATAGCATTCAAACTTGCCGCTAAAACTTTGCGTTTCGGCGCCATTTATCTAATACAGACGGCTTAGCGACCACGCATAGGTAGGGTTACCCTATCCGGCAACATAGCCCTAGCAGTAGGGTCACCCTACCTCATGTAAACGCTCGCTATTTTCTGACCCGCTTGCTAGGGTAATTACCCTCCTGATAGGGTCACCCTACCTGCATGTAAATAGGCCCTAAATGTAGTTACAACTACTAAATACTTTAACATTAATTAACCAATCAAAACAATATGCCTTACAGTGGCATATGACTATGTCAGTTGGTTACTCAGCACTGCACCGGAATTGCAGGGCTGCATGCAGGTTCGATTCCTGCCAGAGGTTGCAGCTGCTCCAAGCATTTAAATCACACAGTGTATTTGGGCTATTTATGCTAAGACAAAACATTGTTATTGGTGCGAACATACAATACACATGTGACCAACTACAGTAGGACCCCATTTTTCATAAACCTTAATAATGAGGTATAATTTGTACTTCTATCAAGTCCCCAAACCTACCTGTTACCGTATTGAAACAATTGGCATGTTAGATGATTGCAGTGGCGTAGCCAGACCTTCATTTTTGGGGGGGCGAAGCGAACGCTGAAGGCGCGAGACCATCTATGGAGGTCCGGGAACATGCACCCCCGTGAAAATTTTGAAATTTAGAGTCCCTGAAATGTGATTTCAAGCATTTTGGGGCTGAAATCTTGCAGAATTCCGAAGATTATAAAGTACGCTCTAGGAGGGTTCGGGGGCATGCACCCCAGGGAAAATTTTAAAATTTAGAGTCCCTGAAATGTGATTTCAAGCATTTTGGGGGTGAAATCTTGCAGAATTCCGAAGATTATAAAGTACGCTCTAGGGGGGTTCGGGGGCATGCACCCCAGGGAAAATTTAAAAATTTAGAGTCCCTGAAATGTGATTTCAAGCATTTTGGGGCTGAAATCTTGCAGAATTCCGAAGATTATAAAGTACGCTCTAGGGGGGTTCGGGGGCATGCACCCCAGGGAAAATTTTAAAATTTAGAGTCCCTGAAATGTGATTTCAAGCATTTTGGGGGTGAAATCTTGCAGAATTCCGAAGATTATAAAGTACGTCGAAGACATAAATTTTCCCAGACATTTCTATGTTTCTACTCGCTTTTATATATGATACAGAATAAGTCTGAGAAGAATATTCATGTTATCATAATGCATATACATGTAAATCTAAACTAAATCTATTCCTCTTGGAACCATATCTACAACTGTTTTAACGAGATTTTAGAAATCAAGTTCTTCCAGTATTTCGTCGTTTTCCTCAGTCGAGACGTACTTAATCCGTTTCAGCTTCGAGGATGTAACGTGTACCCCCCCCCCCCATTTCTCTACGGATTTAGCCTTTTTCAGAGAATAGTTTTTTTGCGATTGGGGGGGGCGACCGCCCCCCCTTGGCTACGCCCCTGGATGATTGGGAGGAATCAACATACCAACAGGTATAACATATACAAACATTGAATGGACTTTAAACCATAACATTAAGCATAGCAGTGACGCAGTCATCAAATGACTTTTGGGTTGGACCTATATGACGTTTATGATGACAAAAGCAACTACAGCTATAGGTCTACATTCAGTAATATTCTGTCTATACCACTATATAGTTAGCTACTTTGTCGAATATACTGTGCAAATCTCATATTATGTCTACGCGTAAATATGCCTTTCATGGTTGTACGTACTATAAAAGTAAACAATGCGAGCAGCATGAAACGAATTATTACTCCTGCTACAGTCCATGTAATTGATTACATCTATAAAAGGTATTTGATGGCACAAAACTTCATTAAAAGCATTAAGAAACTCTAAAATTTCAGTTTAAATAAACGCATGAATAGAAAGCTGCGCTCACTGATATATAATAACCACGAGTCTACGATCTATGAAGACCCTACGAATATTTGCGTACCTTTTTGCCAGGCAGTACAATAATCACTTGTCAGATACACAGACACAATGGCATTACCGATATTTCAAAGCATAGATACGATATATGTGATTCCTTTTACGTAGCTATTTAGATGAAACGTGCAAGAGACGAGAACAACTTTGTTTCTCTGACATTTTGCGTATTTTGTATTTATATTGTGTAGTGTGGACGTGTGACGTATGGTGGCCTCACTAGGCGTGGCTCTGCGTTCAATTAACAGGGGAATTCCCTGTACGAGTTTTTTTGTATAAAATACATAAAATACATTGGTTATAAATACATAAAAATATATAAAATCTACAGTTGGAATAGAGTTGATTTACCATTTGGACGAAGTATGGATCAAACAACAGCCTCGTACATCGCGCTTATACGAATACATTGCACTAACAGCGCATCAAATATTACACCATTGCCACTGGCAACCGATCTATTTATGGAAAAGGTTAGTTTGCTGACCTCTGAATGACATTTCGTTAAAACGTTTTACTTCAAGGTTGGTTTAGAAACAGACTTGGAGTAGGGTTAGGTTAGGGGTACGGTAAGCTAGGATTATGGTTAGGGTTAGGGTTAGTGTTTGGAATAGGGTTAGGGTAGGGTTAGTGTTACGTTTTGTCACGCTGAGGTCGGCGAAATAACCTCTTCCTCAACCTCGTTCCCAGGGCTTCAGTGTGGGACGAGGCGAGACACGAGGAAGCCCTGGTCCGGGCCGGTCACTTTTGCATTCTGATTGGCTAACACCATATTGTCTAAAAATAACTGAACTTGACGGTTGACAATAACAAATTTATACAATACAATTCAACATTTGTATTTTTATGATTCTTGTGTGTACGAGTATGCTTTGCAAAATAATCTTCCAAAGTAAGACGTTTTCCCGACTGCACGATTTACTTTCGCCTCGGCCGGTTACAAAACTCAAAAGCCGTGTCGAAGTGAGCTGTGATGTTTCCTGACAAAACAAGAAATGTCTACTATTATTTAAAGGGGAAGTCAAGTCCGTTCTGCGCATCGGTTCTGCGCATAACAATAGAGGGCCCTCTGAGGTAAACATTGCCCAAATTTTGAATGTTTCGAATTTTTCTGAACACAAAC